CCCCCCCGACTGGGGATGGAGCCCGCAACCCGGGCATGTGCCCTGACTGGGAATCGAACTTCTATCTCCTGGATCCTAGATTGATGCTTAACCACTGAGCCACGCCCGGCCGGGTGTTGGGAGGATTTTGATTATCGATTCAATCCCCTTATAGAAATTTTAAAAAGATTATAAGAGAATACCATGAATAATTGTACATCAATAAATTAAATAACCTAGGTAAAATGGACAAATCCCTAGGAACACACAAATTACCAAACTGACTCAAGAATAAATAGAAAATCTCATTTATAGACTAGCTCTCATGTCACCTTCACCATGAGCCCTTTCTGTTCCAAACACAGAAATCTAATGTAATCTCCACCTTCTTTGAACATCTGCAGCCTTTCATTCCCTCCTCATAGGTTCTTAACATCTTTGTGTAGTTTTCTCCCTCCCCATACTACTGGGTTGGGGAACCTTTAGGGCTCAACCTTGTACCCCCATAAGCAATCTTTGTTCCTAGTGTGTTGAGAGTAGAGTTGTGCACTGTTGGAGGTAATACAAGATATGGAGGCAGGGGCAGAGGGGCTGGTGGCAAAGCACTCAGCATTTTGAAGAATGAGGAGTCCAGGACATGGAGAGCTCAGAGAGCTATATAGGTGTCAGTACCTTTATGGGTATTCTGCTCATGTAATCATATATGTAGCATGTAACAAGAAAGTATGTTCATTGCAAAATAGCATATCAATCAGTATTATACTTTTGAGTGATTGTGCCCTGTTATTATAGTTGTTGCTGCCTTTTGTAGTATAGCTAAGTTATTAGTTCAGGATCGCGGTTTCAACCAGGAGTACATATAAGAATCTTTGTGGAGCTTTATAAAAATACAGAATGCCAGACCTCTAGCCCAGATCTGCTGAGTTAGAATCTCTGGGAGGTGGGGCCTGGGCAGTTGTAAACTATAAAGCTCCACATACACAAGAAAACAGTAGTGACCTCCAGGGAGGGAAGGTGAGGGGAAGACTTTTCACCTTTGCCCTTTTAGAATTTTGAGCCAGATGAGTATATTTAATATATTATATTCCATATATAATTATTTATTTAATTATTTAAAATATATAATTATAATATATAATTTTAAATATTTTTATATAATATATAGAAAATGGATATGAGTGAGGAATTATGGATTTTCCTTAATAAGGAAGTACGATCCAGGCTTTCTATATTATACTAACACGAGTACCACATGAACAAATGGGATCCATGCTGTCTCTGGCGTGCATTCCTTGTCTCTATATTTGTTTCTTTTATGTTTCAGGTGTTTGTGGCCAGTCCTCACAAAACACAGCCTATTGTGGAGATTCTGTTAAAAAATCAACCCAAACTCATTGAGTTTCTGAGCAGCTTCCAAAAAGAAAGGACGGACGATGAGCAGTTCACTGATGAGAAGAACTACTTGATTAAACAGATTCGAGACTTGAAGAAAACGGCCCCTTGAAGTCTCACTCAGTTCCCTGCCAGTCACTGTCTTGTCTGCTTAGTTTGTACAAAAAGTGTCATTTCATAAAGTAATCACTCTTGGGAAGGCTTTAGAGGTACCTATTTTTTCTCAATTTATTTTCAGCATAGATGGAATATAAACATTTGAATGAAAAAATTAACCTAGAATAATATATTCATTTTAATCAAGTCTGTGATTATGTGACATCAGAACCATTGTATTAGACACTGATAAAAGCAATTGTAACCCTTTGTTGATGAAAGGCACCTGGGCTGTGGGCTTGCAGACCTGAGCTCTCAGTCCCCATGAGCCCCTAAGGAGGAACCCAAGTGATGGACCACTGAGTCCTCAAAGAGAATTAAATTCTCAGAGGAAAGAAGGGAATGGGGCAGAAGGCACAAGACTGTTTTACTTATCTGCACTTAGGCAAAATTTCTTAAGGCACTGAAAGATCTGAAAAAATAAGACCCATGTTTTCAGTCATTACATATTCTTGTTCCCTACCCATATCTTTTCTTTTTTTAAAAATATGTTTTCATTGATTTTTATAGAGGGAGAGGGAGAGAGAGATAGAAGCATCAATAATGAGAGAGTCATTGATCAGCTGCCTCCTGCGTTCCCCCTACTGGGGATCGAGCCCAAAACCCAGGCATGTGCCCTGACCAGGAATCGAACCACAACCTCTTGGTTCCTGGGTCGACGTTCAACCACTGAGCCACACCGGCACTCCCTGCCCATATCTTCTAACTCTAATTCACGGTTCCTGAGTTCCTGGGGAATCGATGCCCACCTCCCTGCTCAGCCTTCCTTTCTGCTCACTGTCCCACATTACATCCCAAGGGATGTCCTCAGCACACCTGACTCCTGTCGCGCACGCACGAGCACACATACCATCTGCAGTAGGGATAGCTCAGAACCAAGGATTTCCAAGGGGTACAGAGGACCCATGTGGTGTGACCTGCTCACTTGAGAACTTGGAACAGATAGTTAAGAACCACACTTCTAGCTACAGTCATTGATATTTCACACTGACTTCTACAGCATTCATGAATGTTTGGAATATTTCATTCATAATTGTTATTATGGGAAAAGTGCTTTGTGGTGAAAGTGTGTTTCAGAGTAGGAATCATTGCATTAGGATGCCTAGCATATACAAAAACATGAGTCCAGAGGGTGGCACAGGCCTTTAAACCACTTTTATACATAAAGGAACATTGCCGTTGGGGTGGGGGGACAGATGATTAAATGCATGAAAAGTTGTCAAATGACTAAAAAAAATTATTCAGTTTATTTTCTAATAAGCTGTCACTCTTGATTTCCTATTAATGTATTCAGTGAAAAGGTAGAAAAATTGTAAAATGTTGGTCCCAAATACTCTCTTGCTGTTTCCAAATCATGAGTTATTGTCTTCTGTAGTAGCCTTCACGCTTGCAATATTGGGTGTTGTGTTCTTCAACCAGATGTGTCTCCACCCAGAGAGGGAAAGATCCCTCTCCAGGGTCAGTGCCCTCTGTAGTCTTTGCAGCTGAAGAATTTCCTAGCAGGGTTTCACCCTTCTTGGCTGGGACACAGGTTCATGTTCTTCTCTGCCCAGCGTGGAATCCTGAGGCAGATGGTGTAGGACCCAGGGGGCCTTCTGGTGGCAGCTCTGGCCAATGCTGCAGTGGGAGGGTCAGCCGGCAGCCCAGCTGATGCGCTTCATTCTTTAGCCCCTGAAGTCTGATTATGTTTTACAACATTCCCAGACAGTCCAAAGTCTATTGGAGTTTGTCTGTTCTGGTTTCTTATTTGATTAAAAGAGATGAGTATAAATATATATTTTAAAGAACAAAGGCACAATAACCATTTGAAATTTATTTGGTTGCTTAAGTACTGTCCCACAACATCATGGGACATGTGTTTTCAATCGCAAAACAAGGCCTTGGTATAATCCTTTTTTGATAAATAAAATATTTTATTTTCTCTGGGTTTGAATTAGGTCTTTCCTAGGAACCCCTAGTTTAGTACAAACAGAAATAGAAGATGAAGTAGCTGTGGTTTTGTTGTAATACAAATTTGTAAATTATTAATGTGAAAGAGGGAGCAAGAAGCTCACAGTCAAAATATGCTTGCACAAAATTCACTGTAAATATTGTGAGAATTGAATTTTGAAAAGGTCATATTTAATAAACTATTTCAAATAAAGACTGACTAAATAAAAAGGTCCCTCATATTCCATGGTTGGTTTGCATGTCCCGTGTCTATGTTCTTGTCAGCGCCCCAAACAGGAAAGGCCCAGGCGGAGCATGGGTGGCTTCTTGGTGGGCATTCGGGCCGACCAGAGGCCCACACCGTCGTCCTGTGCGCTGCACTGTCGGCACTGTCCAAATGGTGCTAACTGCCAGTAACTGACACCTGCCAGGCACTGAACATACACATCACACCAGCACTTCCTCAGCCATTCCCATTTTATATTTGAGGAAACTGAGGCTCTAACCGTCCCAGATAGCATGGGCTGGACCTGGAATACAAACCCACAGTGGCCTGAGGCCAAATTCCTGCTCTTCCCTCTTTTAGCCTCAAGGCTGTGAAGTAGGGAATGTCTAGAGTGTCCGGAACTATGTGCCCTCCCCCACTGCTGCCTGGGAGGCATCTGGGGGTTAAGGTCCTAGAGTGAAGCCAGCAGGAATTGAGATCATAATGTTCTTGGACAAGGCTCTTGGCTAAAGCCGGGCATCTGCTCAAACCTTAGGATTACTCTTGGAGAAAAGGCGGAGTGACACACAGCCCTTGTCCCACTGTTCTTGACTGCCAGCCTCCATGGGTGCATATCCTTGTAGGGCTCCGGGAGGAAATAGGTGCTGGGGAGGGGTGGGTGAGCTTTCCAGAGAACTCTGTCACTAGCCAAACCGGTTTGTCTGTATGAGACACAGCTGCTCTGAGCCAGTGTGCAGTCTGGAAATTTCCCAAGACCCAAAAGTGATTATAATAATGTGAATGAAAATAAAATAGAAAAATTACTAGGATTTTTTAATATGAAAAGACAGTGGTTTCAAAATAGATTTACGGATCTTTCTAGGCTATTATATTAAAGGATATTAAGATTTCTATATCTTTTACTTGTTTTTTCTGTTCTGTTCAAAAGGCCATTGTACATATGGCATGGATAATCACCTTTTCCTCCATGTCCTTTCAGGAGGATTTGGCTGTTGGAGTGAGCGCCCATAGCTGGATAAAGGTCTGAAACATATTAAAAAGACCTTGAAAAGCTAGACTTGATCTTGAAAAGATCAGATGGATATGAACAAAATAACTTTGTTTTAAAATATGGAAAGGGCGGTTATGTAACTGCAGTAATGAAAGCAAAGTAAAACAGAATGACCAGCCTCGCCTGCACTAGGCCTCCAGACACCTCACTCAGTTAGCGTGTCAGCCTCCTAAGCTTTGTGGAGAACGCTACTCAGAAAGGGTGAGTAATTCGCTCCAGGTCAAACATCTGGTGGCCGCAGCAGGATTTAAGGCCAGGCCCCACCCAGAAGTCTATATCTTTGCAAAATGGGCTGCATGTCCAGGCCACCTCCCCCAGGCCTGCTCTCCACCCCAGGGGCAGACACTTCATTCATTGTGGCTGCCAAGGAAAAGAGAATCCTGGAACCCAGTGCTACAGGATGACTCAATGGAAAGAGTTCAAAAGCTATATTTAAGGAGGCTAACTGCTCCACTTGGTTGTCTGATCTTTGGAAGACCAAATGAGAATTATGTATAAGACAGGGAATTCAGCCTTGAATTTCTCCATCACTGAACAGTCTCTTGACTACACAGATATTAATTTCAAACTGCACTTCTGCACCTGCTTTGTTTTCTTGGCTTGCCTTTTCAGTTGGACATATTAGCTTAGATTTCCTGATAGGAGCCCAGCCAGTCATTCCTGCATTTCACATTCCTCAGTGGCCCACCACCAGGGAGTTACCATGAGGCAGCAGTTGTGAGGAAGGTGTCCCTCTCATTCCTGTTGGGGTCACTTGTGCCTCATCACTGCCTCTCAGGCAGGAGGGTGTACACATAGCAATACCCTCAAAGTCACAAAACCACACAAAAAGTCCCAACCCCTTTACCACTAATTCAATGTCAGTTGTAAGTTAATCACTACACTATGAGCCATTATGTTATTTTTAAAAACTGTGAACATAGGGGCCCTTTGGGAAAATGTTGTAATACTCATTAATTTACCCTTTAGAGAAGGTTGGAAAAAATTAGTTCCCCTAGTTTTAGTTCTGAAATGTAAAGCCTAAAGCAACCAAAATATTTATTCAAATGCTTGTTTATTCGTTTAATCCAACATCCATGAACTCGTTCTCCATGCCCATTAGGGTTGACTGGGGGACAGAATCACAGAGTGACACACCAGGTTACTGGAGGCGTGAGACCTCAGGTGCCTGGGAGCTGGGTCAGTGCCCTTTGTAAGTCCATCACCCTGGACCTGAGTTGGCTGAGAAGGGAAGACAGACTTGAAGTGGGAGCACAGGAAAAAGAGCTGGGATCCAACTCACGCCGCCCTCGCCTCCAGGATGTGTTACCACAGAGCTCCCAGGCTAAACCCGGGTTAGGAGAAGCTGATGGAGGAGGTGCTGGTGGGTTGTCCCTCCCCACCCAGTAGGTGAGCCAGCAGGTCTGCACCAACCTTTGCAGCGTAAATGTGGCTGTCACTTCACTTCCCCTTGCAACTCTGACAGCTCCTCTTGAGACCAAGCCATTTGTTAATTCTGGAAATGTATTCCAGGTTAGGTAAACTGACACCTCACAAATCCACCGCTATTTTCTGTACTAAGGGAACTGTGTCCACAGTCTCTTATGTCCCACCCCTCTCATAGACCTCTGTTTTTCCTCTTAAGTGACAGGAGAGGTTGGTACGAAGTCAGTGGAACCACAGGGACTTTGGGGATGGCCACATCTGGATTTAATCCCAACTCCATTACTCATGTTTCACACTGAGCTTGTTTCCTACCAGTAAAATGAGGCATAAAGAGGACATTTCACAGGGTGGTCATGGGAAATCAATTAGAGACACAGTGTGGGACTTGCCAGCCCAGGAGATCTCCCGTGTCATCTCCCTCATCCACCCGAGGGGCTCACCACCAGCGGAAGAAGGAATTTCACTTCAGTGTGGAATCAGCAGAAGGAGCCACAGGGGTGCAAAGCTCAATGTGCCCAGAGAATGACAAGCATGTATCCTGCACGGCAGCCTGTGGAGGGACAGGGAGCCTTGAATGCCATCCTAAGGGTATAGAACCATCATCCAGGCAGCTGGCCTTTGAGCAGGAAGCGATATGCAAACTTGCTATCTGAACATAGAGGCTCTGGCACAGAGCAGCCTGGGTTGGGAGGTGGGAGTGTTGAGCCAGGGGCCCAGACGGTAAGGACCCTCCAAGAACAGCTATTACTGACTTAGTCCTGCTCCGGTTGCCCTTGTTCTAGATGCTTCATGAGCACTGGGCTCAGTCCTCAGAACCACCCTGTGAGGCACGTGCTCTCCTTACCCTGAT